ATTTATTTTAATTTAATTAAATAAATATCTTAATTCGACAACTATTTATATAAAGTAATATATATAATTTATATTTATTTAGCATTTATTTAAGATTTATTAAAGTATTTATTTAAAAGTTTAATTTTTTTTCAAGTAATCCAGCTTCATACCAAGTTTTAAGACAAAGACTTGCATGAACTTTTTTTTTAGCTAACCGATTTCGTGTTGGAATTTTTGTTATATTTTGCAATTGAAAAAATATGTTCACTAGGAACACTAGTAGCTTGTACAACAAAATAATCCTTTGCCATAAATGCAAGTTTCGCAAACCGTAATTCAGTTGCTTGTGCTTTCTAATATTCAAGTGTTTTATAATTTTCAAGAGGCATTAATAAATAATTATTAAGAATATTATCACATGGTTGATACGTATTTATGAAAGCATGCTTAAGTTGACAAAGATAATTATATGATGATGTTTCTGCTGTTTCTACCAGTTGTATATAAGTTGTCCAATTATTTATATCCAAGTATTTCTTATATGTATTATGAAGAATATTATATATTCTATTATTATTTTTTTCTTTATACTATTCAAGCTTAATATTAGGATCAAGTGCAACAGAAATTGGACAAACATGTTGAATATTATTCCAATAATTTGAAAGCTTTGTATATATTGCTGTAGCAATTGATTTTGTTTATGAATTAAATCCTTTGTTGATTATATTTTGTAAAACACTAAGAATACCAGTAAAAGATATATGTAAATTATCTATTATAAGATAAGAAGATAATGATAAAAGTATAGTAGCTTCTGTGAATAGCTTGAGAATAACTAAAATATTCTATTGTTTTAATAAATAAATAAATAAATAAATATACAAATAAATAAATTAATAGATTTAAATAAATAAAATACTTATATTAATTTCGTTCCAATCATGTTCTGTTGGATAAATATCTTTTAATGTTTTTAAACTACTTGCAACTAAAATATCTATTATTTCACAAATTTTTTGTAATTTAATAATCTTATTATATGTATTATTTCAACAAGTTGTTATATTAGGTTCCGGAACAAAAAATGGTTTATCTCTGAATTCAAAAACTAGTTGTAATCTACAAATATAATTGGTAAAGTTACAAAACTTCAAAATAGATTCATTAACTTTATACATTCCTTCATTAACTACTAAGTTAAGAATATGTGCTGCACATTTACACTCCCCTATCAAAAATTTCCATATATCATATATGATTGTAACAACATCAGTTGAAAATTACAAAAATAGCATAATATATCAATGAATGACTAATTATAACACTAAAAAAAATTTATTAATATTTTGTTAGTCTATCTTCTGCCATAATTACTGCTTGAATTCGTTTTGACATATTGTTGACCAAATTTTCAATAATGTGTTTCGGAATTATTTTCCATGTAGTTTGGACATATTCTTCAAGTTCAGTAATATTGAAAGGTTTTTTTTTTGTTTATTAAGATTTTGCTTAATTAAGCCTATAAATTCTTAATTGGATTGAAATCTGGGCTTTGCGCAGGCCAAGGTAATACATGTAATTCATTTTCTTCATAAACTTTTTTAGTGATTTTTGACTTATGCAGACTAGCATTGTCTTCTTGAAACCAATCATCATTATGTGGAAACATCTGTATTATTGTAGGTATAGCATAATTATGTAAAGTTTCAATATGCATAGCTCCAGTTACTGACTTATATAATAGTACAATTGGATCTAATTCTTGTCATAAAAAGCAACCCCAATGCATATGACTAGGGCTATGCTTTACTGTGGCAGAAATACAAGAAAGAGACCATTTATCTTTTATTTCTCACCATACTTTATTGGTTCGATTTTGTTCAAATTGTATGAAAGTTGATTCATCGCTTCACAAAACTTTTGCCCAATCATCTTTTGTCCAGTTTTTATATTTGAGACACCATTTAAGACATGCTTTTTTATTTGCTTCAGAAACAAGTGGCTTGCGTTATGTAACACAATTATATAAACCAACTGAATGAAATGTATAATGAATAGTTGAGATTGAAATATCTTGATTAGTTTTTTCTTTCCAAAGATCTTTTATTTCTTCAAGACATAATTGTTGATTTTTCTCATTATTAATTATAAGTTGCTTAAGGTTGTTACATTGAGTAGTATTAATCAAATGTGGCTGTCCAGAACGTGATTTTGATTTAAAAGAATCAGTATCAGTATATCGTTTTAAAGTATCAAAAACTGTCATTAGGCCACATCCAACAGTTTTTGCAATTTTATGATATGAATCTCCATGTTGAAAACAATAAATTATTGTTCCACATTATGCAATAGTCAATTCTTTCTTTCTTCCCATAATTTTTAAATTAAAAAAATTTTTATCATAGCAATAATTTACAGTATATATAATAGGTTATATCTAATTTGTCATTATTATATTGATGCTTTACATAAAAAATTAGCTAACTAGTTGCATTATATGATTCTGTAATTTAATGATTAAGCAACAATTATCGATGTACGTAAACTTTTGATAGGGGTCTGTAATCTGTGTAAATTCCAAATTATTATATTTTTCTACAAACATCTTATTAAGCTCAGATTCAAATACATTCATATTAGTCACATTATCTGTAGTTACTGTAAGAATTCGATCTCCAATATTATAATAACGATTATCAAGAGATGAAATAAAAATACGGAAATCTTCATTTTCTACAATATTAAAAGGTTGTTGATCAGTTATAATCCATCGAATAAGAAGTTTTGTAATTTTTTCTTGATCATTACTGCATAGTTCAACTGATTGTATCTGAATATATAATATAGCTCATCATATTTGTCTTTATGATGTTTTTTAAAATGTTCTTTGAGTATAGTAAGACCGGGTTTTCTAGAATAAGGATGATTGCAAATACAACAGGTACGGTGAGTATCAGTTTTATTAAAACATTTCCATAATGGATCAGTTTTAAATTTTTTTTTGTTTTTTCAATATAATTTGTGTCTTTCAATGAAAATTGAAATAAAGATATCGAAGATGTTTGATCGTTTTCTAATTCCATAATTTTTTTATTTACTGTACTATATTTTTTTATCTTTTTATATTGTATATAAGTCATATTATTTTTCAAATTTAGATTTATATTATTTTTCAAATTTATGTATAAATATAAACGAATAAATTTATAAATTTATATATAATACAAAAATAGTTTAACAATAGAGCATTATATCTGAAAATTCTAAATCATGCTTATAATATTTATGCTTTAGCATAACTTAAGCATGCTTTATTGAAGCATAATAACAACCCTAGTAAGAGCATGTCTTTTGGTTTGTTTAAACATTGATTAGTTAATGAAAACTTATGTTTAATTTTTTTTAATTTTTTTATAGTCACCTCGATCTATAATCACCAAAATCTGCTTATCCAAATGAGGTGACTATAGACAGAGTTGACTGTAGTCTCGCCTTTGATCTGCATTCTTTAATGAACGGAAGTACCAAAAAGTATCTCCCGGGATTTGCCGATCACTTTAATTGTTACTACTGTACTGTATTGATTGCGTAACACAGATGACATATTAACCTATCATATGATGTGTCATACAGTAGAAGGAATTCGAATGTAATAGAAATTTCAATGCGGGTGTCGCGAAAATATAATTTTATCTGCTCTTATGGCTTTTTACCACGTTACCCCAATCGCGAACTGGACATGTGTTAATGTAGTAGAGTATTATCATTCGAAAATAGAGATCATATAAGAAAAGATCTTCAAGAGGTTGCAAATTATAAAGCTGAGTTTGACAAGACGCGTAAAAGCAAGGCTCAAGAAATCCTTGACAACTGGAGGGTATCGATTATATATTTGAGATAGTTAAGAGCTTGGTCCATACAGTGATGAACTGCTAGTTCGATACTTAGCGCAAGCTGGGACTGTTAGTCTGCCAGTGATGAATTGCTAGTTCGACGCTAGTGCAAGCTGGGACTGTTAGTCTTCGGGGACGAGTTCTTGACACTTCTGTTTTATATTTTTATTGAAAATATCTTGCAATTATTACTAAATTTGTACCTTTTATTTTGTCAAGGAGTGGACTACATCGATGAAGAACCTGAAAAAAGATTTGCGAGTTAATATTCATGTAAGATTCTAATCCAAAAATTTGTAAGATCAAAAAATATTGATCTACGTTTTTTTTCAATTAGGTGGAACAACAAATACTTGCAACTGGTTTTGCAAATCAGACCATCAGTACCATCAACGGTCGTTGTATGACTCTTGGAATAGAAACAGATGCAAGCTAATACTAATAAACAGGAGTCATCTCCTACAAAAGACATTTCACCACTTATCGAGAGTCATTCTTATGAGGGAAAGGTATTACCTCCGATTCCTTGCCTGAAATAGAATATAACTCAACCCAACCTGAATCTTAAACGGAGCCTGAAAAATCTACAACTTCTTTGCCAAAAGATATTATCCGTGACAATTCAGCCGAGATCCTTGATTTTGAAGAAACGATACACAAATAAAGTAGTGGTGATATAAGAGAGAGGAACCGGGAAAAAAAACTTCAAGAATCATATAATAACTCAACTCCACCGATACAATCCGAAGTATCAACCTGTCGACACCTGAATCTCTGGACTCGAAAACTGTGAAAAAGCTTTGGGATCAAAATCAAAATAAAAACCAGGACAAAACATCCCAATCGCACAAGAAAAAGGGAACAGAGAATATCGTTCAGGTAATAGCTAATGGCATTCAGGATGCCGACTACGTTTTTCATTTGATGGGCCTACTTTTTTAAAATAATCGTTAATATCTAAATAATCAGTTGCCAAAAAATGCACGTAGCTATTCGATCTTAATGTCGCAGCCATTTTTTTTATTCTTGCCAAAAGCGCTTATAACGCGATCAATCGAGTTTACTAAGTCGCGATTATATATCACACGATCAGTAATGATGTTAAGTAAAAAACGATTTGCTTCATTGCTTGTACTTCTGGGTAATTTGGGTAATGTAACTATGCTGAAGTTTCTCATGTCGGCCAGTCTCTGGCGGTGAGAACTTCCCTTGTGTCTTTGGATACTTAGGAGAAGCCATAGCTTCATGTCGGCCAGTCTCTGGCGGTGAAGTTATGAGTTACTTGTGGCTAGCAACTGTTCGCGTCGGCCAGTCTCTGGCGGTGACAGTTGATTTATTGATTTTGCTGAAGTTTCTCATGGCGGCCGGTCTCTGGCGGTGAGAACTTCCCTTGTGTCTTTGGATACTTAGGAGAAGCCATAGCTTCGTGTCGGCCGGTCTCTGGCGACGAAGCTACGAATCAGTGAATATCCAAGTTATTTCTTGGTAATCACAGCCCTTATCAGCAAATCGGATAATAACACACCACACGATTAAAATTTATGAACCCGATCAGGATCCTAGGCTATTTAATGCGAGTCCTAGCATAAGTTATTTCTTTGTTCTCAGGATAATCTACTGTATTTAATGCGAGTCCCAGCATAAGTTATTTCTTTGTTCTCAGGATAATTTCTACAGATAATTTATTTCTATACCAATTACTAACCATTATTTACAATAGAAAAATTTAACGATATCCCGTACATAAAGATCATCAAAAGGACATCGGTTTAATCCGCACAAATCATTCGGCACACATAAAATAAAAAGGTCAATCATATATTTATTTCATTATTTCTTCAAGAAATAGAGCTTCAATGTTAAGATATTTTTTTTCGTAAAATAATGAGAAAGGGCTGACCGCTAAGTGAAAATAATAGAGTAGCAGGATGTATCAAGAGAACAAAGGCATAAAAGAACATGCCTACTTGTTTAATCCTGCCAAGCCCTAACCCATATATTGGCAGCTCCTTTCCGCTACTCAAAGGTACAAATGAATGTTATCTATCCAAGCACCGTATCTTTCTAAATTTTCTTTATTGTATCTTTTCCAATTGATCCCATCTCAAGTCTAAGAATATAAACCGATACAATAAAACACATCTGATCTAAATAATAATCCCTTGCACCCTTAACCCTATTAAATATGGTCGAAAATTGTTCCCGAATTACAGAAATGATATTCGCAAATCTTTCGCTTGAATCCGAGAAATTTGATGAAGTCTTGCTTTGCTGATCAGATCCTCTCCTGTTAACAATCTGGACAAGGGAGTGTTGTTGATTGATTTCGCTCTGGAGCGTTGTGAACATCCTGCCGACCGATTCAAAATCAACTAAAATTATAATGGTAGGTTTCTATAACTCGCTCGATTTCGTTATATTTTTCATTTATCACGTTAATAATATTTTGCCTCCGATGCATAGTTAGTACTGTATCACGAGAAATTAAAGATCGTTATTAATTTCGGTTCTGATCTTGCTGATTTGTTCAGCGATAGTAGTGTTGATCTTGGTTTCACGAAGTTTGTTTCATCGGCATTTTTTTTACTTTACATCTCACAGGAAGAACCATATGGTGATGAATCCTATACACAAATGGATATTTTCGGGGTAATCTTCGCAACAACGAAAAATAAAGTAGCTGTTAAAGCCATAAAAGGCATATTCTCCAAAACGATGATTGGGCAAAGAAATCCCGATTAGAAAATTAATCGCGAGGACATGCGGATATTCAAATTTAAGATAAGTGAAACCAAGCTCGATGAGTTTGTCAAATGCCACGTTGGATTTGCAGAAGGGAAGATAGTAGAAAAATTGCATCTTTTATAGGCTATGTTTCGATCATTATTTATTTCATGTAAAGTGGAGAACGATTTTTTAATTTGACAGTAAACGTAATCAGGTCATTATCAGATAAATTCTCAACTGTAAGCTGGTTGACGTCAATATCGCCATTATCATCTAAGTCAGAATCTAAGGTTTCTTCAGATACGTTTATCTCAGTCTCTGGTAAAGATTTGTTATCCTCACTTATTATATCTTCCGAATTTCCAGAGGCATCACGGAGTGGGTAGACGTATGAGACAATGAGATAGAGGAAGAGGTCTGATCGTGACATTTTGTCACGGGTTTTGAAGTCACCTCATTTATGATAGGATGAATTTGAGTATCTTTGAATCCCGAAATTGTACTTGCATTATATGTAATGTATTGGATTTAATCTATGCCTACTCCTCTATTACCAAATAGAGTAAGAATTTTTCTTGCTCTTAGTTTTCTTACGCAAATTTGCATCTGTAATATTAGGTAGAAAGAGTTTCATTTCCTTATATATTTTTGATCCTGCCGTTTTATCTTTAATCCTGCCACCTGCTGTAAGGCTTTAAACCTTATTTTCGAATTCTAAAGGTGTAATAGATTACAAGTCATCTCTTGTATTAAATCTTCTACGATTTGATTATCGGATTCAGATAATTCAGTTGGTTGGCGATGCTAATGGAGACGGTATCAGAATTGTCAAGGGTATTTTGATCGTGACAATTTGTCACGGTTCTTTGATCGCATAATGAAGGGGTGTCATCTTTTTAGATTCCGGTTGATTAGCTAAAGATAAGTCTTGATCCTGAAGTCTCTTTTCCTTAATCTTCTGGATTATTTCTTTACTAACCCGTTCCTTATACATTGAATCCATGATTTCATATTCTTCCTTTTCTTCCAATGATTTGGATTCTGTATGAATATATGTGAGGGATTCCGAATCCTGGTATATATCAAAGTTATATATGTTAGACTCCTGATGAGTATCGTTAGAATTTAAAGTGTTTTTGGTTATATCAGATACCTAAGCATCAGCGTGAGCTCGTTTCCGGCTATTAGGTTCAGATGCGATAGCATCTTTACTCCGTGAGTCAGAATTTGAAGCGTTATCAACTATATTATCACATCGTAAGTCTGTCTACGTTCTTCTGTAGAAGGTACGTCCTGAGTATTATTAACGATTTGATCTTTCTTTTCTGCAGAGCAGGGCATTTTGTGCCTAATTCCTCGATATCATTTCTTAATTTTGTTACTTCAGCTTTAAGGTTTATATTCTTTTTTGCTACTTTACTCCAGTTTCTTGATTCTAATCGCATACTCAGCTTCACGTTCGGCATTTCTTTTATGACCTGTTTCAATCTTGTGTTCTCAGCACGAACCTGGAATTCAATTCTCTCAATTTGATATCAATCAATTTATGTAATTCTATCAAAATGTTCGGAAGAATACTGTAATATTTTTTATTATTAAATACCTTCAATTTCAAATAAAATACATGTAACATGTAAGGCGGTATTTTTTTTCTTTGTAAAAATTATGTCACGATCAGAAAAAATTTTTTTATTAATACATGATATCTAACCCGACTCTTCTGCAAGATTACTCGATGATCTATGTTTTTTTACTACCCTCGATTGATTTTCACCTTGTGAAACTTCCGCGCCTCCTCTAACAACAAAGAAATGTAACCTAGAACACTTTCAACCGTACTTTCCATATCCTCATTATTATACACGACAACTACTGGTTTCGATAGTTTGAATCTCGGCCTTTCCAACTCATCGAACGAACATTCTATAAACTACCATTTTTCCGCATCTGTGACTATTCCAAGCATCTTACCTACAAACACACATTCTTCCTCTATCTCGCTGGCCTTATGCTTACGGTTAGACAAAGCTGATTCAAGTTGGACGGCATTCTGAGCAATACCCTTTAAAAAATCTTTATCCTTTACTTCTGTCACTCCAACTGTTCTTTCAGTTTTGAGCAAGTCTATTGCGAAATCGGCTGGTTCGTGTCCATTGGGTCCTGTGATGTTTTTTTCTGGTCGAAGTTCAAATTTGCCTTCGTACGGGTTTGCACTAGCAACCAAGTATGAACATACATATTGCGATTTCTATGCTTCATTTCCATTGATTGGAATTGTCTTGAGACGGACCTCTAGTTTAGATATAAGATGTTTTGAGCATTGCCTAGGAAGATTCGTCTTTCAGATTCTTGTACTCACACGTAAAGGTGGGAATACTGATAATGATAGATCATCCAATTCGGTAAGTCTGTAAAGCTGACACACCATTAAGAATGACCAATCTGAAAATGCTTTTGAGGGTGTTTCTATGGATACTGTAAACTTGAGATTATTCTTTGTTACAAATATGCGGAGCATCTCACGCAGGTCTTGATCGTTACGAATGAAGTATTTTCCACTATCATTTAATGCGTTGAGTTCTGCCCCATCATTTGCAAGTGGGGGTGGTTGATACATCTTATGTATATAATCTTTGAAGTTACATGTCCAATATTTGCAGTTCACTTATTCGCCTTCCGTTTCGGATGGACGAAGACGTCAAACTCTGCGATACAAAGGTTTAGTTAGTAAAAAATCATGCATTTCCATTCCTTTTCGGAACGCAGATCACTTTTTCCAAAAAAATATTCTGATCGTTTGGCCAAGAAATTTGCGAGACCGTGGGTCCCAAAAAATTCCGATAAATTTTTGCTGGAAGCAGATAAAACACGTACCATGGACAGATTTGTTAATCGATGCCTCCAACTATGTGATACGGTCAAGTAATTCCTATTCATGGTTCGAAATGTCGGTTAATGCGGGTGGTTCGACAATGATATGGATACATTTTCAGCTGGTATGTCAGGGAAGTACTTCGCAATCTTTTTCGTTGCCAGAAGTTCATGATCAAGAATTTCCACCTTCCATAACTTGAGTCTATCGGCAAGAAAACTATCAAACTCTGGCACCTTTTTTGTTTTGATAGCCTCCTTAAGGTGGCCAACAAGCTTGTTTCTATCAATGTCGACAGGGAAAGTGTTTCGCGGGTATGTTTCCTTTAACCAAACAGACCGGTGTAATAGATACTGTATTTTGAATTATATATGATTTTTTAGTGAATTTCTATTGATCTATCCGATTTTGAACAATCCGAACTTTCGTTATCGATATACTGTACATAATACCTATAGAAAAAAGATAACTGTATCGTTTTTTAAATTACGTAATTTGATTTATAGAAAAAAAAATTAAACCAAAAATATATTTAAACATATGTATAATAAATTTGTAAGACAATTATAAAAAAATCAATATAAAATAATATCTTAACAGACAACAATTTCCAAATTAAGTAAAAATTACAAAAAAAAATTTTCAAGCTTTCTATGTCCATTGTTTTTTAAAGGCGTTGTTATATGACATTTATCAAGGTGTCAGGATAAAATGTGGCGCGGCATCTGCTTGGACCGACGGAGTGTGATAGTATTAATGATATAAAAATATTTAATAAAGAAGGGGTTGTGGCAGACGATTCTATAGTTTAACTTATGAAAGAAGTTATATAATTGGAGGTATTGGGACAAGGGATTATTTAATCAGAACGATTGTGATCAAATATTATGTAATAAGAGAGAATTGTGAGAGAACCTTAGGTAATAATTTCGCCATACTTTTGATTGTGATAGTCATCTCAACTCATGTTTCGAAAAAACGCATAAAAGAGTGAAAAGGAAGAGATAATAAAGCAGTCAAAATAAAAACTCGCCTTATAACTTTTCCATCACTTACCCCATTGACAGTTACGCGAAACTCTGGCCCGCTTTAGCGACAGACTTGCTGACCGAGTTATTGATTGTAATTATTTATCTTATAAATTATCATTCAAATAAATTTGACTAATGATAACGATGAGTATCTTGCAAATTTAGTAGTCAATTATCCTCATTTAATAAATACACATGATAATATATCTCGCTTTTCTAGCATAATTAATTAAAAGGAAAGGGTTTATTAAAAGATTTTCACGGATTTTTTATTTGATCATACAGATTATTTGTTAAAACTGAGAAATACGAAATGAAGGCAAGGTTCTATGATAATTTATCTCAAGACTTCTCCCAACTTCTTGAAGACGCAGATGACTATAACGTTAAAATTAAAGTAGGGGAAAATTCCAAAACTCAAGAATTTCGCGCACATTCTGTAATTTTAAGGGCACGTTCGCCTTATTTTAAGAAGGCACTTTCCGATTCATGGGTTACCATTAAAGATGGAAGCATTGTATTTAATAAGCCGAATATTTCCCCGGCCGTTTTTACGTTAATTCTTAAGTAAATATTAGTTAATTTTTTTATTCTTCTTTCCACTGAAAAGTTTTAAAATATATTAATTTTAAATCTACTATCAGGTATATCTATTCCGGAAATCTTGATTTAAATAAAATCTCTAATACCGACGTTCTCGACCTTCTTGTTGCATCGGATGAATTACTCCTTAGAGAATTACTTGATCATATTCAAGATTATCTCATCAAACAAGCGTCCTCCTGGCTTAAAAGCAATCTTATTACAACATTGCACACCGTTTTTCAGCTTTCCTGTTGCAAAAAACTTGTAGATTATTGTCTAGATTCTATATGCAATAACCCCAAACCTTTTTTTTCATCCGAAAATTTTTCATCTCTTAAAAAGAGTATTTTCCTGGAATTAATTAAGCGCGATGAACTTAAAATCGAAGAGGTAGATATCTGGGAACATCTTATTAAATGGGGAATTTTCCAGACATCAGGAATTAGAGAAATGAAACCGTCAGATGTGAAGAAGTTTTTAGAAAAGGATTTCAAGAATTTAAAAGGAACGTTAGATCCCTTCATTCCGTATATTAGATTCCATGAAATTTCATCGAAAGATTTCTACAATAAGGTTCGCCCGTTTCGAAAAATTCTACCAGAATCACTTTTTGAAGACGTTATGTCCTTCTTAATGGCTGGAACTGAGCCAAAGCAAAGAAAACTTCTGGCGCGAGTCGGTTTCTTTATAGATGGGTCCAAATTTTTTACAAGAAACCATGCAGACGTTATTTCTAGTTGGATTAAAAGAAAGGATACGGGTATATCTAAAGAAAATAGAAGTCAATTTACGCTACTATATCGCGGAACTCGTGATGGGTTGAATGTTAATTCATTTCGTCAAAAAGTAAACAATCAAGGACCAGCAATTGCAGTCGTCAAGATAAAGGATTCAGAAACCATAATCGGCGGATTCAACGCTACTGGATGGAGTAACAACAATCAATACTATAATTCATACTCTAATTCATACTCTTATAATCATAACAACTATTGGAATAACAATGGCAATCATTTTATATTTTCGTTTAAAGGTATTAGGGATAAAATAGGAATAATTGGTCGATCTACTGGATCTAGTGGTGTATATGATTATAATAATATGTTATACTTTGGAAGTAGCGATTTGCTGCTTCACGATGGTATAAATGGAACGTGTAACCAAAATTCTTACGACAAACGAATTTTGGACACGAATAATTTTATTGCTGAAGAGTTGGAAGTATTCAAAGTAGTGAATTAGTTGCGTGCGAGAATGCCGAAAAACCTGTAAAGAAAGGAGAAGGATTATAAAAAGTATTACATCAGATGTATCCAATCTTATCACTATTATTTTGCTTTTTTGTTTTATAATTATCTTAGCCAATGCAATAAAGGAATATATAAAAGATAATGAAATTTGAAATTAATTATTTGTTTTATTTAATCGTTACATTTATTTATTTTTTTAATAACAATAAATCGATAGCGAAGAAAATAAATACAATTAATTGTTTTTTAATAATTATACAAAAATTTTTATAAATAAATAAATTAATCAAATATAAAAAAATTTTTTATGTATTAATAGTCTAATATCTAAGCTTTTAAATTACAGTATATGCTGTATATATATTGTATATATTTTTAAAACTTATTGTTTATTAGATATTTTTTATGGATATGCTGTATATAAATTTAACTCTATCTATTTAATTAAACTCACCAAAGGGTAATTTCTATCATGAAGCTTATTGTCAAGTATTAACATATACTTGATTGATTTGTCAAGGTTTTGCCTGTTTTAGTTTTGAAAATATATAGTTTTTCGATTTATCCAATGTTAAATAAAATATCTTATTATTGAATTTGCTTCTAATATATACAGTGGTGATCAAAATTTTTTAAACAAAAATAATTTTTACTTAATTAATTACATTTTAATGGTTATTTAAAAAAATTAAATAAAAAATTGTTTATATATTGTTGGAAGTTATAACAGCGAGTCTGTCGCTACGTCGCGATCGCCGATCGTGTAATGTCGAAAGAGGCATGGAGATGTGGCACGAGGTAAGTGAAAGTGTTAGATAATAGTCTGAGTTTTATAGTA